CATTAACATGGCTACATGTGTACTTTTGATGGACACAAATAGAGATGTCAATCCCCAAAACTGTGATTAAGAAGAATGAGGTACAGAGGAATTTAGCAGTTAAAATGGTGGTTGAAAGGTGGCTCCGTTTTGACAAAGAGCTGGAGTTGATGCAACAATAAAGCATTATGTGATTTGTGTGCCTGAGATGTTCATCCCAAAAACAGTCTATTGTGATGTTGTCCTTGTCCCAAGCAAGCCTTTGAAAAGCTATCAGGCATGCATGTTCTTCTAGTTGTGAGGAAAGCTACTGCTGCATGAGCTTCTGGGTGTAGCTCCTTTTTATTGATTGCTGCAATGAAGTGACAGAAGTTTGATTGTATATGAAAACATTTTTAAAAGCAAATCTGTATAATGTGGGTGATTGCTGCTTGGATTTCTGTTCTTAACATTATCTATTTGTTCATTTCCCCGAAATCATGTGCCCAAAGAAATCACCATTGCACAATTGATGGGGCAGGTGATGATCTCAAGTCAGTTTTCTTCCAGAGTTGCAAAACTCCGATGTCTTTTATGACTCGTGGATGAATTTTGCTGCAGAAAACCAGAGGAAATCACAGCTTGTTGCAGTCACTGTTTTGATTTGAAACTAATGATCATGCTCAAATCTGAGGCATTAATTTCCTGTCGGTGATGTAGCATGCTGGAGAGATACTGTATCATATTTAGAGACTGCCATTAGCGCAAACAATAATCCTATTTCAGTGATCCAAAATGATGAACGATTGATGTGACTTAGAAGTTTTCACTTCCACCTCAATGTGCTTTTGCTACCCGGTCTTTGTGTCTGAATCCATGTTGCCAGGAGCTAATTTGAGACAGCTCTCTAGCAGCTTTAGCAATGTACGATTGTCCAATCAGAAGAGCACCTGCAGTCACTTTGTGTCTGTTTCACAAACCGTCTCGCTCTCGCTCTTGCTCTCTCACTCAGACAGTTTAGATTTTTGCCAGTTCCACTCGGCTTTTCATCCTCTACTTTTTTGCACTTCATTCTCCAATTTAAAGCTCTTTCGTTTTTATATTTTATTTTGCCTCATTTGAACTTTAAATGTTATTTCAAATTTGTAATTTTGATTTAACTTTGTACAATGCAACAATATAACACAGCAAGGCACGCAGTGAATATTAATTATGTAAGAAAAATACAATAGCACTGAGTGTCCCCACATTGCCGCAGTTTAAGAAGGCAGCTCACCACCCTCTCTGGGACAAGTAATAGGCAATAAGTGCTGACCTAGCCTGTGATTCCCATATCTCATCAACAAATAAAATAAATGGTGTGATAACTCCTTTAATTTCAGGATGTGATGCGTCAGAAGTTGGTTGCTGTTCTTATTCTTCCATTCAGAATAGTTAAATAATTTGTACAATAAATAACTGGAAGGTTCTCAGACACAAGTTGCCCACCAGTTATATACTGATATCTAAAAGCTTCAGCTTCCAGTTTTTCTAACTCTTCTTCATATAACTTGCAGTGATCTGATTCTTGACTGTTCGAATGAGCTTTTGCTGGCAAATAAAAACCTGCTTCTGCAGCAGAAACTTTCACACTGCATTTTTGTTTGGTTGGAGTTCTTGAATACATTCTCTGGTTGCCATCACAACGTTATGATAACTGTCTTTAGCAAAGCCGTAAATACATTCATTTAAAATAACTTATGATTTCAATAGAAATAGTCGATATAAGAAGCCCTGCGATTATATTTGACATCTGACCAACACTCAGTAACCAGAATATCTTTTCCTTCCAATCTCATAGAGACAAATCTGTCACAGACAAACAACGTTCCTGACTTCCAAGTCTCTGCAACCCTGTCTCACCAAAGGGGCAGTCATTTACTATTTGTTGAAGACTGTTCAGTCACAGGGCAAAAACCCTTTACCAGCAAGATCTCTGTGGAGATTTATGAATTGTATTTGTTTACTAATATGTTGCCTGTTTGTGGCAGATATCAAGAAATCACAGTGCCCATGCTATACTATTGATGATTTTTCTAATGTGTGTTGTAAGCTGGCAGTCAAGGAAGGCATCCTGTGCTATGGAAAGCATTGGTTAGTATTGTTGTCGATGCAAAAAAAAATTAATAATTTGGCTGATTCCTGTTGGGATAAAGATAGAAACAATCGCCTTGTTCCTTCCCAGAATAAATCCTTCCAGTATTAATGGCATGCTGGTTCAGGTCAGTTTTAATAAGTGAATAAATCTTGTCTAGCATAGCAGGTTTTGTACAATGATGAGGTTAACTCAAAGTGGAACTGTTTCTCTTTCTGTCTTGTCATGTGTTTACAATATGATTTTTTTTAAGTGAAACAGTGTCAACCTTGTAGAAAAGACCAATAGCGAAGCAGTTTCTGTGTAATTGCATCTAATTATTAGTAGCTGTTAGAGGATTATGAAATCTGTGGAAGGTTTTTGAATGAATTCATTGTTCTTGTGCATATTTAGGCCAGTAATTTAGAAGTAGATGGATTTGAATGAGTCAGAACTTCCTTCTCTGTGTAAATATAAACAGACGGCTGGTGTTACACATTACAGTTAATTTGGAATGTGAAGGTAAGAACAAAGACAGCAATACTTGGCCCGTATTTCATATTGCCTTCTATGAGATGATAGAGAAGTAAGTGTAATAGTTATTTGAATACTAAAGTGATGGTCTTATTTGTATAGGGAAACAGCAGCTGGTCGGTACAGGCCATAGTAATAGGCTCCTCATTTTGAATTTAAACTTGATAGGGAGATACTGCACATTTCCTGTGGATCAAATTGACAGTTGAAGATTTTTGTTCAAATTGTGAACAGAATAAAGAGACTGAGAATGTCAGCGGTCAAGATCATATTTTTAAATGCACCAGACAACTTAAAACTAGCAAAGACCGGCGGATGGTGTTGTCAGTGGCAACTTTTCACCTGGTGAAAGATCAGTAGCGGACTGAAAGAAGTGGTATGAAAAAGCTGAAAATTCTTGGAGAATTACATCTGAAATAGCTAACTGTCAGTTTCATGTGCTACAATGTAATTTTCCTCACAGGAACTACTGGACTACTGTTTAAAGTGCATATGGGGGTTGTTTTTATAGAATGGATCTTCTAAATGCTTCCCCACCAACCCCCACCCCGCCCTCCTAATCAAGCAATGACAGCTGAGTTGTGCAAAATTATTATTGGTATGATTGCAAAATGATTTTTTTTTGCTTCTTAAAAGATGTTTGGAGTTCGGCAGGATTCAAAAACCTGCGATCTAAGTATATAAACTGTTGAACTTCATCTCTGGTTTCCAGCCTTGTGATTGAATGCAGAGTAGGATTGGGGGGCACCATTAAATTGTTCATTTAAATGGATCACTACCGCAAAGAAAAAGTTTTGAATGGCAGAAAGTTTGTTTTTGTAGTAACTTTGGCTTTATCAATTCTAATAAAGAAACCACAAGGTTAATGTTTCTCTGCTTTTCACTGTCTTGTTATGGTATCCTCCTTCTGCCCTTTGTATTAATGATTAATCAGAAGTACTGCAGTCTGTCAATTGTTCTGTAATTTGACGATTTTTAATTTTGTTGTTTGTAGTTAAACACTTGCATTGCTTCTGTATGCTAAAATAAACAGATTGACCATAGCGTTAAAAGTACAGACTAGAATTGTTGTGAACACTTAACGCACGCAAAGAATAAAGCCATTGAATGTTAATTAAAGTGGTGAAGAATGTCATGTAGGCAGGCTCTCTCATGCTGAAACTATATACCGTACTGTATTGCTCATCTTTCACCTCTTAGCATTGAAACTCTTTTAGAAACCAACATTGGTGACGAGTGCTGTGAACTTCGGCTTCTCAACTTTAAACAATAGAACTTTTATCCAATGTGATTTAACCAGTACCCATGTCTTCACATCACAAGTAGCATTACCAGACCCTTCCCATGCAAGTTTTCCTGTAACTGATGATTAGCTTATTCCAGCCCTGCCTTTCTGCTAAACAATTGTTTGAGTTTTGCTCTTTGCTTTTCTCTGGATGTAACAAATATCCTCTCATTCATGCCTTTGCTCTAAATTCAGTTTAGTTTAACTTTATTTTCTTTGCAATTTCCTTATAGCTAGGCTTATACACAAATCTAACTTGCCTACAGCTTTCCAAAGCACAGACCGCCCTATTTTATGACTAATTTCCTTTTTCCTATCAACTTGAAATGCTTGCCTGTCCCTTTTTCACATCCCAAAGCAAGAGTCCTTCATTTAGAAATATGCCCATGATGTCATATTAACATTATTGCTACAAATTTCTTCAACACTTCCTTCTCAGCTCTTGCCCTCTATTGCTCTGAGTAAGAACTACTGTGCTTCTTCTCTGAATTTGTCACTAATCATCATGACTAACATGTTTTCGACTTTTCTTTGTCCTTCTGCTTTTTTGATTCTTTTCATAAACCTTCAGAAACTTCTGAAAGCAACCTTAATGACCATTCTCCAGTAACATCACCTAACATCTCTCTAGTCCTGCTTGCTGTTCAACTAGTTCCATTATTCTTTATTCATTCACGGGATGAGGGCGTCGCTGGGTGAGGCAGCACATATTGCCCATCCCTAATTGCCCAGAAGGCAGTCAAGAGTCAACCACATTGCTGTGGGTTCTGGAGTCACATGTAGGCGAGACCAGGTAAAGATGGCAGTTTTCCTTCCTGAAAGGGCATTCATGAACCAGATGGGTTTTTCCTGACAATCAACAATGGATTCGTGGTCATCATTAGATTCTTGAATTCAATCAATATCTGAAACTAAATTCCACCATCTGCAGGGGCAGGATTCGAACCTAGGTCCCCAGAATGTTATCTGGGTCTCTGGATTAACAGTCCAGCAATAATACCACTAGGCCATTGCCTCCCCATGATGCACTTTGAAATGTTACAATGTGTTATGGATGCAGTGTAAGTTTTAAACATTTTACAATGATTTTATTTTTCTTTTAAAATACAGCACTTCCATCAAATGCCAAGTAAGATAATGGAGAACTTTGGAAAGAAGTTGATTCGTAGACGAAATGTTGACTGCAACACAGATGAAACCCGGTTTGTCAGATGCCTGACAACAATAGATCTAATTGCACTGGGGGTCGGCAGTACTCTTGGGGCAGGTGTGTACGTTTTAGCAGGTGAAGTAGCCAGGGACAAGGCAGGTCCTGCTATTGTCCTTTGTTTCTTGATCTCTGCTCTTGCCTCAGTACTTGCTGGCCTGTGCTATGCTGAGTTTGGTGCCAGAGTTCCCAAGACTGGATCTGCTTACCTCTACAGCTACGTGACCGTGGGTGAAATATGGGCTTTTATAACCGGCTGGAATTTAATCTTATCATACATGTTGGGTAAGTTTGAGTTTAATTTTATCTTGCTTTTCAAGTTTGTGAAAGGGATAAAAAGTAGTTTTTGTGTTTCTTTTTGATTAAATTTCATTGCACTTTTGTTATTTGCTACTAGAAATAGTTTGAAGCAGTAACACTAAACTACACAGGGCTTTTTCCCCAGTCATCTACTTATCTTCAGGAACTACATAAATAGTAGGTTATGCTAGTTAATCAGAGGTCCTGCCACAAATACAATTTAATGATCAGGAGAACTCCTGGAAAACTCTGCACTGAGGTACTCATAGTGGACGTGTCATGTTTGATTTATTACAATTCTAGAGTACAAATGAAAGAACAGCAGCAAGCTGTCCCAACATCCTCACCAATATTTATCATTTAATGAACATCACTAAAATCAAATAAACTAATCATGTTGGATTTGTTGTACAGAAATTAGCAGCTTGTTTTAAAAAAAACTAATAAATTATTGTACTTAATTGATTACGAGACATATTGGACATCTTCATGATTTGAAGTGCATTTTAAAGAAAACAAGCATTTATAATCAAAAAATTTTAGGGTGTATAGCTGGGGAAGTTGACCATGAAGACTCCAGGTATATGATCAATTTGTACTTACATTTGGAGTACTATCTATAATTTGGATCACTCCTGCAGTGGAGATATCCTGGCTGTATAGAAGAGAGCAACTATCCTAATGTTAGTACTCGGTGCCCTGAACTACAGAGAAACTGCAGAAAATGGCAATATTCATACCATAGAAGTACTGCATTTTTGGAGAATGTGTTATATTTTTCATAGTTCTGAGGGTTTATGATAAATTGTTTGACATTACACGCACTTTGTAACTGAGGGCTATATTATACCCTCCTGCACTGACAGGTTGAAAGATGGGAAAGACTTGTAAAATTCAACAGGTGGCCTATCCACCATCCAAAACGTTTGCCCTTGCCTCCATCCTAATCTTATAAGTGGCAGAGTTATCATTAGGCAGTGAGATGCTTAAGGTGGTAATTAATATTAATTTAGGAGATCCTTTCGTTGACAGGACTTAACCAGCAGAAGAAGAGGCTGATGCCAAGCAAGCAGGAAATTGTAGAGAAACATGTAGGGAAACTAGCCCTAAATACTTACTAAGTTCTGATCCAGTGCTGAATGGCTGTGTACAATAATGGCGGTGATCATGTCTACTGCTAATGACTAGACAGCTGCAGACCTCTAGCTGGTAGCTGAAACAGAATTTCTTGTTCTTTAGGGGCAGAAGTATGGTCAACTGGTTGTTTACTTAATGTGGGGCAGCTGTCCCATGTGTCCGTGTATCTGTACTCTTCCCCACCCAAACTCCATAGTTAGGGTAGGAAGGAGCAGTGTTTACAGTGCCTAGTAAAGTCAAGTCTTAAGGGTTAGGTGCTCAAGAAGGGAATAGGTGTACAGACAGTTTAGATTTAACTACACTGTACAGAGAACAAGCATGTGTGACCAATTGCCCAAGAAAATCATGGAGGCAAATCATTTGAATATGCTAAACCTGGCCGGGTAGTTTGTGAAAGAAATGATTGAGAGGTACCAGATTCAGAATTTTTGATCCGGGTCATCTATTTCTATTGGTATGTTTGTGATACTAAAGATTCTACACGCAAAATATTGTAGATGTTTGGAACTCACTTCCATAAATGGAAGCAGGTGATGGATTATTTGTTGATTTCAAATCTGAGATAGATAAATTTTTATTAAGCAAAGGTATTATGCGATATGGGCCAAAGGCAGGTATCTTGAGTTAGGCCACAGATCAGCCATGATCTCATTTAATAGTGGAATAGGCAGAAGAGATTGAATGGCCTACTCCTGTTCCTATGTTTCTATGTTTAATATAACACCCCAAGGAAATGGGATGTTATATTAAAAAGCAACACTTCTTTACACCTCCAGGTCAAATTTTGTAAAATATGAGAAGTGTGGGTTAAAAGATAATATTTATGTTGTTCACCCAGAAAGAAGAGTATGACTACTGGCAAATGGAACTCCACTTTTCATTTCATTTCGCCTATCCATGTCCACATCAAGTGGTTCCAGGTTTATTTAGACATTAATAAGGAAGAAATAAATAAAGTGTGGTGTCTTCTCTCCCAGCTGAAATCCTTCTGAATTAATATTTGCTTTTATTCCTCAGGTACAGCAAGTGTTGCTCGAGCTTGGAGTTCTACATTTGACAATCTCATTGGTCGGAAAATTTCAATTTTTTTTGAAAGCCACTTGAATATGAATTGCCCTGGTGTGCTTGCAACATATCCAGACATATTTGCAGTCATCTTAATCTTGCTTCTTACAGGTCAGCAACAAACATAAATACTTGTTATGAAAATTAACTGAACAATCAGTGGAGCATGAGTTTTAAGATCATTTTGCCCATTTTAAGGGCATAAAATGAAAGTTAAATCAACAGTTTAGCAGTGCAAAGGCCCATGTCCAAACCACAAAACTGTTTAGGGCCCTTGTAAATTGGTCTGATCCTCTTTTAGGCAGCAGCTTAGAACTCATTTCAACCTTGAAATAAAATTTATGCTAATTTCAGGTGCAGACTTAGAAGTTCATATTTGTCTGAGCTGGCTGAATGTTTTGTTTTATTCTTACAAGTGGGTGGCACTGGCTAGGCCCAGCATTTATCAGTTATCCCAGAGGGAAGTTAAGAGTCAGCTACATTGTCAGTCATTGTGGGTCTGGGGTCACACATAAGGCAGATTTCCTTACCTATGCATTAGCATTCTTCTATAAGTACCATGACCTGTACTGTAAACTGTACTTCAGATGTGATCTCATCAATGCCCTTATAACTGAAGCATAACCTCCCTTTCTTGCATTCAATTCTCCTTTTAATAACCAATACCATTCTATTAGATTTCCTAATTACTTGCTGTTCCTGCATACTAAATTTATGCAATAGGAAACACAGATCTCTCTGTATCCCAAAGCTCTGTAACCTTTCACCATTTAGATAATAACGGCAAGAGGTTGCCTCTGAAACTCCTAGGAAAGGAAAGAAAATGAAGGGAAAATAAATAAAAACCAGTGACTCTGGGAATTTTTTTTCTCTCTGACTCCATAAGGCAACCAAGCAAACTCCCAAATAGTAGTCACTTGATGTATCATTAGAAGTTGGTAGGACAGCATATGCAGATTATCTGTCTTCATCCATCATAAATTTGTCAAGCCCATTTAAAAAAAATTATAAGTAGCAAAATTAAAAATGCAATTCACTTATAAGATGCCTCTGTTTAATTGATTTGTGCTTATCTTTATAGGTCTTTTGGCATTTGGAGTGAGTGAGTCAGCACTGGTAAACAAAATCTTTACTGCCATAAACCTAATGGTCCTGTGCTTCGTTATTATAACGGGTTTTGTGAAAGGTGACATCAAAAACTGGCAGCTAACGGAATCTGACTACAATGAGACCTATATCAACAGGTTTGTACATAGTTCTTTACTCCTTTCAAATTGTCTTGGAGTTTTTCATTTTGCATCATCAATGGTTTTTTTTCTCCAACCTTGTTTCCCATCATTCAAAAGTGCTGGTTCATTTTGGAAGATGATAAACTTGAGAAGCTGTTAATAATGTGATTCACATTTTCCAGTTGATGCTTTTCTAACTCTGGCATTAACCTTTTTAGTCAAAATGGATGAAAGCCAGTGTTAAAATAATACCAAATAGGATATTCAGTCATGTGATGTCATGAGCGGTGAGTAGATCATGCCCCCTGCTAGCGTCAATTCATGCGCTATTTCCAGCAGGGGTTATTGTACAGGAATCAGAACTTTCCCCTCTTCCTTTTCACATGTACTGAGGGTTGCTAAATCTGCCAATACCAGATATGCATTTGGTGTGTGTAGGTGTGAAAGGACTAAATTTAAAACAGAATATGTGCATTAAGGTGTAGGATATGAGCACTTGGGTTAGTGCTCTTTAACTGAAGTAAAACTCTATCGGAAGTATCCAACACATATTTCAGAAAAACATTATGGATTGGATTAGATCTCAGCTGACTTGTAGTTTGGAGATGATCATGAGTTATGTGAAGAGATAGGCTTTGGGAAATACTTAGCCTCTTGGCTCTCAGGCATTATGTTAAAAGTGTTTGACTTATGCACCTGGCCCTGTTTCAGTTCATTTTCCCTGCCAGTAACCCAACCCCAACGATCCTTGGCCAGAGCTAGTTTACAAATAAATATATTAGTGTGAGGTATGTAGACTCCTTAAATAGTTTTGGTGATTAGCATTTTTCCTGAAAATGGAATGGTTGAGTGCTTCTGTTAAGTTTTGGAAGTGGACGGATTTGGAATTTTTAACATTTTGATCTTGGGGGTTTAAATTATTTCCATTGTTTGAAGAGATGACTTTACATCTCTGAATTTTCTATTTATTTGGCTGTACAGTACTTGTTAATATTTATGTGGATTGTGTTTGTTTCTGTCTCAGTACTGAATCAAAAGCAGGAACATTTGGTTCTGGTGGATTCACTCCTTTTGGATTTTTTGGAGTTCTAACAGGAGCTGCAACTTGCTTCTATGCCTTTGTAGGGTTTGATTGTATTGCAACTACAGGTAAGAACACAGCCTTTTTGAAACAAAATTTTAATTTTCTGCTTTATTTTGAAGGTGCTTTTTCATCTTTAGTTCTAATGGAGTAGGTCGGCCTCTGGACCCTCAGTCAAGCACCGTTTATTTTTCCTTTACATTATGGGAATAGATAAAAGTGAAAAGGCTGGAGAACACCTCGAACTTCTGCAGTTTTAGTCTTGATGCACTCCTACAGTGATAAAAGGGAGTCCCAGCATATTGACCTAATGGTAATGGAGGAACAATGGCTTAGTATCCCAAGGCCAGATAGTGTGTGCTGTGGTGAGAAATTTTAAGGTGGTAATATTTTTGGAACATTGTCAATTTTGTCTGCCTTGGAAATAGAGGTTACAGGGGATAGAGGTTCTTTACACAGAGAGTGGTGGGCATGTGGAATCCGCTACTGGCAACGGTAGTGGAGTCGATAATTTAGAGACTTTTAAGCGACCCTTGGATAGGCACATAGAGGATAGTAAAATGTAGGGTATGCAGGGTAGATTGATCTAAGTAGGATAATAGGTCGGCACAACATCGTGGACCAAAGGGCCTGTACTGTGCTGTACTGTTCTATGTTCTAAAGGAGCAACTTTAACCACGTGACCTACGTTAGTGGTTCACTGTTCTTGTTGTGTTAAGGCTGCAGACATTATTCTGATCTGTTAACTATTATAGCACTTAGCTTATTTTTGGTGTTTAGCATGTAGGTGCCTCTGTGTTGCAATTTTTGATACATTTGCATCATTCTGTAGTGTCTAGTGCTGCTTCAGTATGCCAGTCAGTCCTCTGCTTTAAACCAGGATTTATTTGCTGATCTCATAGTGATCAAGCTGTATGGCATATGCAAGGTTGTGAAATAACAGATTTTTGCTGTATACAATTCTGTTACTGCTAACCCACGGTGCCATACCAAAGTCCAGTTTTGGGCTACTAAATCTGGAAATCAGGAAATGTGACCACGCCATGGCTTACAAGAGAAATTAGAGATAGTGTTAGATCCAAGGAAGACGCATTCGAATTGGCCAGAAGAAAACGAAAAGATCTGAGGAGTGGGAGCAGTTTAGAATTTAACAAAGGACAAACGGTTTGATTAAGAAAGGGAAAATAGAATACAAGAGTTAGCATGCAGGGAACATAAAAACAGATTGTAAAAGTTTCTATGGCTATGTGAAAAGAAAAAGATTGTTGAAGACAAATGTAGGTCCCTTACAGACAGAAATGGGAATCTATAATGTGAAGCAAAGAAATGGTTAATCGATTAAATACACATTTTGATTCTGTGCTCACAAAGGAGGACATAAATAACATACCAGAAATGTTGGGGAACAGAGTTTCGTGAAAGGAACTGAAGGAATTCAGTATCAGTGTTGATAAAATAGACGGGATTGAAGGCTGATAAATCTCCAGGGCCTGATGACCTATATCCCAGAGTACTTAAAGAAGTGACCCTGGAAATAGTGGATGCATTGACGGTCATCCTCCAAGATTGTATACACTCCGGAACAATTCCTACAGATTGGAGGGTAGCTGATGTAGCTCCTATTTTTAAAAAGGGAAATAAAGAGAAAAATGGGAATTTTAGACCATTCGGTCTGACAGCAGTAGTGGGGAAACTGATAGAGTCCATTATGAATGATTTACTAGCAGAGCCTTTGGAAAGCAGTGGCAGGATTGAATAGTCAGCAACAATTTATGAAAAGGAAATCATACTTGACAAATTTGCTGGAATTCTTTGAGAATGTAACCAGTGGAGTTGAGGGGGAGCCACTGGATGTAGTTTATTTGGATTTCAGAAGGTTTTTGACAAAGACCCAATAAGATTAGCATGTAAAATTAAAGCCATGTGATTGGGGATAGTGTATGAAATGGATGGAAAACTGGTTGGTAGACCGGAATCAGAGTAGGAATAAATGGATCTTTTTCCGAATGGCAGGCACTGACTAGTGGGGTACTGTAGGGATCAGTGCTAGGACCCCAGCTATTCACTACATATCAATAATTTAGATGAGGGAACTAAATGTAATATCTTTAAATTTGCACATGATACAAGACTGTAGTTTTACAGATGAACAAGGTGGGAGGGTGAGCTGTAAAGAGGATGCAAAGATGTTTCAGTATGATTAGGACAAGCTGAGTGAATGGGCAAATGCATGGCAGTGTAACTTGGATAAATGTGAGGTTATCGACTTGGAGAGCCGAAAAAGGAAGGTGGATTATTATCTCAATGGCCATAAATTGAGAGAGGGCAATGTACAATGAAACCTGGGTGTCATTATATACCAGTTAATCAAGTTAAGCATGGAGGTGTAACAGACAGTCAAGAAACAACTGGTATATTGTCCTCCATAGCGAAAGGATTTGAATACAGTAGCAGGGAAATCTGGCTGCAATTAAACAGAACCTTGGTGCAACCACACCTGGAATATTGTGTGGAGTTTTGGTATCCTTATCAGAGGAAGAATATTGTTGCTATAGAGGGAGTGCAGCAAAGGTTTACCAGACTGATTTCTGAGATGGCAAGAATGATATGAGGAGAGCTTCAATCAGTTAGGATTATATTTGTGGCGTTCAGAAGAATGAAGGGAATTCTCACAGAAACCTGCAAAATTCTAACACTACTAAACAGGGTAGACGCAGGAAAGATGTTCCCAATATCAGGGGAATCCAGAACCAGGGGTTGCAATCTAAGAATAAACTATTTAGGACTGAGATAAGAAATTTCTTCTCCCAGAGAGTGAGGAGCCTGTGAAATTCAGTCAAGGCCAAAATATTGTATCATTTCAAGGAGTTGAAATTAGCACTTTAGGCTAAAGGGATGAAAGGATATGAGGAGAAAGCAGGAACAGGCTACTAGGTTGGATCATTAGCTGCAATCATATGAATGGCAGAACAGGCTTGAAATTCTAATGGGTGTGCTGTTGCCCATATTTTCTAAGTTTCTCTGTATCTGAAAGCAAAAGGTAATATTTCTGAACAGAACCTAAAAGATTGATCTGTCTTTTCAGATGTTGGCAGTCTATGTATTTTCATCACTTCTTGTTTTTTAGTTTCTGATTTACTGCATTTTTATCTGTTATTTTATATTTCTTTTTTGTTTTCTATTGGTTTCAGGAGAGGAAGCAAAAAATCCTCAGAAGTCCATTCCTATTGGGATTGTGGTTTCCCTGCTGATCTGTTTTGTGGCCTACTTTGGTGTATCTGCTGCTCTCACACTTATGATGCCTTATTACATACTGAACAAGAAAAGCCCACTACCCGAGGCCTTTAAATATGTTGGCTGGGAACCTGCTCACTACCTTGTGGCTTTTGGCTCTCTCTGTGCTCTCTCTACCAGGTATTTTGAGTTTTGGTTCAAAAGAATTTTTCTTTTCTTCGGAAAAAAAATTTAACTAAGTCTCTGATGAAAACTCTTCAATAAAGAGTTGAACTGTACAGACCATAAAGGTCAAATAATCAAACTTTTTTAAGCTGATGATATTCAGCTTAATTGTAGGACGCAAACAACTACTCGGGACTAAGACTGTGAAGAAATCTGGCAGAGTTTCACTTCCTGATTTCATGTGTACATCTCTCATGTCCGTTGCTGAAACGTGAATATGTTGGTATTGTACAAATAGGTTTGAGTTAGACTGATGTCCGCTTTTGAGTTGAGTTCACCATTACTTGTTGAGTAGGTTTGTATGTGAATGATGTTCATTTGGATCATTATTTGAAAACTGTTAGCATCTCTTTGTACTCCAGTAAATCATCAGCACGTTTGCAGGGGATAGAGAAAGTGTTACAAAACTAAACAATACAACAGGAAAATTTTACAAACAAGAACTGCTAAGGAACCATGAACAATATATTGGTGTTTTTTCAAATGATAATGAAAGCACTGATTTCAGTCAGAATATCTAGTGTTAGTAATGCAGTTAGTAGATGTGGAACTTAGCAAAAGATGCATAAAGTCATTCTGAAGCCAGCGAGATTCATAACTCACTCTACACAAAAGACGCTTGAGGGACCAGAAAGAGAAATCAAGCTAGCTCCCGGTGGTTCCTAACCAATTGTCCTTTTCCCTTGTATCCAGCCTGCTGGGCTCCATGTTCCCTATGCCTCGTGTCATATATGCAATGGCTGAAGATGGATTGCTTTTCCGGTTCCTGGGGAACACGCACAAGAAAACCAAGACCCCAGTGCATGCGACCATCGTTTCTGGCATTGTTGCTGGTGAGTACCATTTGTGACCAGGTTGCAAGTCTTTATTTTATTGAGTTCTGCTGCTGGTCTGACAATTTGCCTCTTTGAATTCAGAGTATTAGAAACTTTCAGCTTGAAGCTTGAAGGTCATTTACTCATCATCCTGAGCCAGCCCGAAAGAGCTATCCAACAAATCTGTCCTTCCAGCTCTTGGTCCGTACCTTTGTAAAATAATGGCTCTTAAAGTGCATATCCAACTACTTTTTAAATGTGATGATTATTTCTACTTCTATCTCTTCTTGGTAGTGAATTCCAGATCCTAAACATCCCAGAAGTGATTTTTCAAAAACTCTCCTCCAGTGCTTCTAACAATCAATGTGATTTTTCACGTCTTTGCTAAGGGGAATATGTCCTTCCTATTTAATCTGTCCAAGCCTCTCATAAGTTTATCAAACCAAATTAAATCTTCTCACAGTTCCTCTTTTTCAAAGAAAACAGCCCCACCTTGTCCTCATAGCTTAAGTATTGTAGGCCTGGCAAAAATCTCATAAGGTTTGCTATAATTTAAGGGAGGTGACAACCTAGTGCTAGTATCACTGGATTATTAATGCTCAAATAATGTTCTGAGGACCAGGATTTGAATCCTACCACAGCAGATGATGGAATTTGAATTCAATAAAAATCTGGAAATAAGAATCTAATGATGACCATAAATCAGTTGTCGATTGTCAGGTAGTTATTGAGGAAGCAGGGAAGCTGCAGAAGGACTTGGAGAGGTTAGGAAAGTGGACAAAGAAGTGGTGGGAAAATGTGAGGTTGTTTACTTTAATAGGAAGAATAGAGGCATGAACTATTTTCCAAACAGCGAAAGGCTTTGGAAATCTAAAGCACAAAGGGACTTAGGAGTCCGAGTTCAGGATTCTCTTGAAGTTAACATGCAGGTTCAATTGGCAGTTGGGAAGGCAAATGCAATATTAGCATTCATTTTAAGACAGCTAAAATACGAGAGCAGAGATGTACCGCTGAGGCTGTATCTGGCTCTGGTCAGAACACATTTGGAATATTGCAAGCAATTTTGGGTCCTGGGATGGATATGCTGGCCTAGGAGGGCATCCACAGGAGGTTTACAAGAATGATTGCAGGGATGAAAGACTTGTTATATGAAGAGCATTTGAGGACTCTGGGTCTGTACTCGATGGAGTTTAGAAGGATGAGGAGGAATGTTTGAAATTTACAGAATCCTGAGAAGCCTGGATAGAGTGGACGTGGAGAACATGTTTCCACCAGTAGGAGAGACTAGGACTCAACACAGCCTCTGATGACCCTTTAGAAGTGAGATGAGGAGGAATCTCTACAGCCAGAGGGTAGTTTGTCTGAAGAACTCATTGCCACAGAAGGCTGTGGAGGCCAAGTCATTAACTGTAAGTAGGACAGAGATAGATAGGTTCTTGATTGGTAAATAGATCAAGTGTTACTGGGAGAAGGCAGGAGATTGGGGTTACAAAACATAACAACCTTGATTGAATGGATGGGCCAAATAGCTTAATTCTGCTCCTATATCTTGTCTAAGGCTGCTCTATCACCCTCTACAGCATTCACATTTTCTGTAACGTCTGAACAAAACTTGCACAGTACTCTAGCTGTAACATTATTAGACTTTTATCATTTTAGCATCCTCAGTAGTGGAAATTATCCCATATGTCGTATTTGCCTTACCTACCTGTCTGCTATCTTCGAGGATTTATGAATAGGCAGTGTAAGGTCCCCCTACTTCTTGCAGTACATATTTTTACTCTTACACAAATCATTGTGACGAAGAGGTGAGGATACTGAAGAAGAAATGCTTCTAATGAATCTAACCCCTCTGGAGCAAAGGGAGAAATGAACTGAGTTGGACATTTCATTTTGTCCCAAAGAGATTTTGAAAATGCTCTTTGGTTTCAAATGAAGGAGGAAAAGAGTGACATAAATAAACTGAACTGCAAAACTGGTTTTCCTGTGGACTGACCTCAAGTCTCAGGAATATAATAGAAAGTTGAATTGATGTGTGAAGTGCTTTGTTTGTATTCACATATTTTTGTTTTTGATTCAGCTATCATGGCACTACTGTTTGACCTGGATGTTCTGGTTGACCTCATGTCTATTGGTACACTACTTGCCTATACCCTGGTGGCAGCTTGTGTTCTTATCCTCCGGTGAGTGAAGTTTCTTGATGTCACTATGATTATTATTGTTGACCTTTTTCAGCCAAGATCACAGACTAGTGACTTACTGCCATAGCAGTGCTAAAGCTGTGGGCTGATGTACAGTGAACTCGGGGCCCATTTGGAAGAGCCTTATTGGTGAGATGAAATTGTTCCTTTCCTGCTCCACCCATTCTTTGTAAAGTCAGTGTACTAATGTACCACAATGCTAAATGATGTCCTTGATTTGATTTCTTTCCCACCCAGTAGTTTTACATTGCATAGAGAACTGAATTGATTTATCATCCCATCTCTGCCTTTCGTGTTCCTGACCTGAATTCAACACATTGCACAAAACTTTAATCTTACCTTATTCTGTCTGCAGGTACCAGCCTTCTCCAAACAAACGTGATTTGTATGAAATGACTGAATTTGGGGAAAAGAAGAGCAGCCTGGCAAGCCAAATGAACAGTGAGGATTATCAGGCTGAAGAAAATACCTCAGTGAGCTTAAAACTGCTGTTCAAACCAGAACGACATACCCCAACTAAATGTTCCGGATTAATTATTTATATCAGTGTTGGAATCCTCTGTAAGTATCTTGGATCTAATATATTATGATACAACTTCTGTAGTGTGTGCAAAAGACGCTAGACTCTGTTAATGCTTATCTTGTCAGTGGTGAAGGTTGTACTTTTTTTAATACGATAACTGCCAGAGAAATTAAATTAATTCCTTCCTTGATAAACATGACTTGTCCTACTTTAAATTATTAACTGCTCAGATGTTTTTTGAGTGATACCCAACACTCAGCAGTAATAATAAGGAAACAACTAATCAGGAATTTAAGTGAAATACACAAAGGAAACAGTTGCAGAGTAAAGGGGCAGATTTTGTTGTTACAAAGTCGCCAGTCACCTCCTGACGTAGTTGTGTTGTACAAAGATATTGCAATGTCCTGATTGGCAGGTGTTCTATTATATTTACCATTAAGGTACCCTCATAATGGCTGTGCACATATAGGAATTGATACTTATGAGCCAAAAGCTTTTGGGGCCTGATGAAAACCGGGTTATGATTGCAGTATTTCAGGCTGGGCTTTTACAGCTGCCACAGTCTTGTACTGCTTATGGTTTGGAGTTTGAGTCTGAAACCATGCGATCAGGTAGAATGTAAGTAAGCTATACCTAGTGCAGAGGAAGAGTACCTTTGTATAGCAAGAGTAGAAATTGGATCTTAATTGAGGAAGCATATCTCTGTGTCTCAGTAGTGCCTTATAAGAAAGTAGGGGACTTCAATCTGTTTAGCTTGATCTAATTTCAAAACAATGCCCATTCCTGTTTTTCTTTTAATCAAATACAATTCGTCTTAATTTCAGTTAATTATTTTTTTCAATTCTATTCTAGCAATTGTTTTGACTTGTATTTGCATTGTACTGGCGAAATGGCTCGAGGAGTTATTCAATGGACATGTAATTTGGATGACGGTACTTGTGATGCTGTGCATCGTTGTTGCTATTATTACTTTCATTATATGGAAACAACCACAGAATGAAACGTCACTTAGTTTTAAGGTAAATCTTTGATTTCAGAATAACTTAGAAACAGAGAGAAAATTTCCAATTCCCTTTCTATAAAAGAAACTAAATCCTGCAAGAGTACAATTCCATCTCTATTGGCTAAGATTCACTACCTCAAGCATACCATACCACATCCCCTTTTATTTGGGCCTGATTAGCATGTAATTAGCATGTTATTTTACAATGTTCCTTCACTTTGCTTAATTCTTTGTATTTTTCAAAAAATTATTTGAGGTTTGGGGATATTTGCACGAGTAACCAGCAGGTACCAACAACCAAGTTGTTGTTAGGTTCTTCCCTGCAGCCACCCTGTCCAAATATAGAATGCCGTTGCATTGTCCCACAGGCTGTTCAGATATTAGAATTCTCAGGGCATGAGAATTCAGACACTTAAACATAGTGATGAATGTATTGTTACTTACCTGTCCATGCTTGATCATACATCCTACAAAGTTACTAGATCCAGTCCCTTTTTTGATCTCTGCGGGAGCAGCTGAGATCAGTTGACATTGTTAGGTTAAGTTGACCAGGTTAGGGAGAGGAAAATAGTTTATCAGTCTTGATCATCCTTCACCAGCTCCTAATGGAGTCTGCAAACGTCAGGTGAAGTTTGGACCTGTGTCAACTGTGATGGTGGACAGTCAGCCGGTCACAGTCAGTGTCTCTGTCAACAAAGCATGGCTAGTTGGAGGACTGTTTCATGCTTTGGAACTGTCTCACAGAAAATTGTGACGCCCTCAGGAAAATTGAAGAATGATTTTCATGGATGATTGATAGAACAAAAACATCAAATGTGTTTGCAGTTTAGATATGCACCAAGTGCACAATATACTGACAGATTCCTTTTTGTCTTTTCAGGTACCACTCCTTCCTTTCCTACCTATTGTCAGTATGTTTATAAATGTTTACCTGATGGTGATGTTGGATTTGGGCACCTGGATCCGGTTTGGAATTTGGATGTTCATAGGTAAATATACATCTACAATTTTGTGCTTGCCCTAAAATAAAACTGGTAATTGTACACTTAACACCTCAATTAAGATAGTAGTTAAATATAAAAAGCAGAGAATACAAGTCTCCCTGCTGCCACTCGGCGCAATCAGGTCAGTCTTGAATAATGTGCCTTATTGTACCTCTTGGTAAAACTTGTGTTCAAATCTCCAAGTTTATCAAGCAGAACTCCATAATACTTTTCCATACTTGCACCTCTACTCATCATTGTTGAGGTCTAACCCACTTCTTACTTGCAATTCAGCCAGAACAAAATATAAATCATTGTGGACTATTTGATCACCCCTAAAGGTCGAGGATAAAATTCAGCTTCAGTCTTTTCCAATTCAACTCTACTAATTTGATTTCAAAGACCAGGAATTCTTCAATTAATTTATATTATTTTAGTTAAAATTGGATTTACCTCACAATAGTTGTCCATGCATAGTTGAATAACTTGGTCAAGTGGCCTCAGGTTGCACACCATTGGATTGATTGGATGCTTTCAGTGATGGTCAGCAATCATACCCAGATTTTTGCTTTTATGATCATGATTACATAATGAATTTATAACGTTTCACTTTAATTTATATGTTGCCACTGAAACAGCAAATTAAGTGGTGCTGGGGAATGTGTAAATTCAGATTGGGGACAGGATGCCAGAAGTAATGATGCACATCAGTGATTCCAAACAAAAGTTATACTTTCAATCTCCTCTGGACTCCATTGACTTCCACCATCACTGTGGCATCAGCATTGGTGCCATGAACCTCAAATGTAAAGCAGTCATCTGCTTCCTAAAGATGGGTAACATTTCTGTGCTTGCTCTTAATTATGATGATGGGGGATAGAAATTCACTATAGCTCCTATCTTAAACCCGCTATTCCTACAGGGAATGGGAAAATATTATTTACCCCTTGTTCTTCAGTGTATCTTCCTGTTGCTGTAAAATATTGCGGGATGTTTTATCGGAATATCAGGAGTACAATATAAATACAAGATGTTTGTGACATTGAGGTTCTTGTAAGATGATTTATTTTGCTGCTATGTTTTATCTGTAGATAGAATTTTTTAAATAAATATCAACTAGATTTGCATGAAGCACATGTTCTTTAAAAATATATTTTCATGCTTTATAATTATTTGATTTTTCTCAATTGAAGTTCTGTATTTTGACATCTCTACCTGAGAAAGGGTCTGTAAAATTTGTACTGTGAAATTACATTTATCTTTTAATTTTCCCTAGGTTTTGTCATCTACTTTGGTTATGGAGTGTGGAACAGCTCTGAGAACCAGCGATCCTCTTTCAATCCTGTAGACTCGGATAGTCAAGAAAAAATGGATAAAATGCTTGACTGCAACATTTTACTCCCTATAGAAAAAACAAAGGAAATATCAACAGCATAAAAGAGAAAATATTGAAAGGAGTGATCCGTATTTACATTGACATTTATATGTCCTTGCTAATTGCATTTATTACTGTTTTTTTTAAATAGAATGTTAGAAGTTGAGATGACATATTTTGCCTTTTTTATATTCCATTGTTGCCCACTTAAAGTAACATACTTGAGGAGTTATGCAATCCACCCAAGGTGAGGGATCACAGGAAGTTTTATTCCCACTGACAATTCATTAGTAATAAAAATGCTACTTGACTTCTGTTGGTACTGCTTGACATCATGACTACCAGTCTATTGTGACCAAGCTCTCATTCTGTCTACACAAATTGAATTTTAAAATGTCAAACTATCAATAAACATTCTCACTGTTTTGAGAAAGTTCAAGACCCGCGTGAGCAAGTTAACATTGCTATTTACGTTCATTAGATCTGGTAATGTTACATCAACTTTACAACAAAATAGGGGAGAATGGGTTTCGCAATGTCAATGGATTGTTAAGTAGAACGGTGTCATCTCAACCCATTTAACTGTTTATTTCCTTGAATTATAAGTTCAAGCCTTTCACTGTTTGCATAGAAAAGGATTCATTGTTATTTATTGGCTCTGTATTTTATTATGTAATTAAACAGGCATTGATGTATTTCAATTAATATAGAGAAATCACAGCTATTTTACAGTAATGTAAAATGTGTGTCTTTGTGAAACAAAGTTGCTGATTGATAACATATAAGCCTGGCAGTGAATATTTTGATAGACTGTTGATATTCTCTCCGCTGTACTATAGTAATAGTTCAAAGCATGAAGAGCGGTGATGAAAATGTCTTGTCAGTTTGTAGTTGTAATGTTGATCTAGGCCTGCTCCACATGGCTACTTCTTATTTCCCAGGTTTTTTGTTTAGAGGGCAGAGACACCAGCTTGGTTGTATATATTTTTATGTAAATATTCTGGTATTTTATAAATACTGTCTTTCATTATATAGCTAAAAACATGGTTGGGGTGGAGGGCAGTTGGTTTTCTTTAAGAAAGCACTTGAACTTGCTACCAGAATGTGTAGAAAGTGCCTAATTTTCATTTCCACTCGTTGTTGAAACAGAGAATTAGGAGTTTCCTTAATAAGCAGCTAATCTCTAATATCAGTTTGAGACCTGGATAGCAAACTGAAAATTTAACCCAGTGTGTCCATGAAACTCTGGAAGATTAACAGTTGTAACTGGTGTTACAGAAAACAAAATTGTGGACCAAATAAATGGGTAAAATAATTTTCATGTTAGCTGAATTAACATAGTATTAGACCTATAGTGAAAGGGACTGTGTTCATTCAGTGTTCATGTTGGACAACATTTCACAACAAACTTAGTGTGAAATCTTGTCGCACAATCTTCATTTTAAAATTGTTCTTTGCCTGTCTCAGTCCAATTAATTTAATTCACCTACTGTTTTTTTGGGGTAATTATACTTGCTTGGCATTGTTTTGAATGTGGATCATTATTTGAACATTTTAATGCATTTTTTAAATGACAGAGAACACAAACTGATTTGAAAAGTTAACATTGCTAACTCTGAAAGTCAAATGGTAATAACTTTCTCTTAATTCACCCTTCACTAAAGTGGATGTAAATAGGAAGGTGTATCTAACAGTATTTGTGAAACTGCATCGTGACCAATGAAAGGAAAATATTATCAAATGACAATTTTATTCCTTTGGAGTATTTACATATCAAGTTGTGTCTTCCATAATGAAATTTTCAGTTATTTTCTCATAAAATTTAAACAATAGTAAACTGAATTGTTTTTATTAGTTTGAGGGAATAATAGTCAATGTTCAGATTTTTCTTCAAATAGTGCTGATAAAAATGAAAGAAACTGCCTGTAAATATTTCATGCTCTGCTATGTGTCTCTGTGTATAAAACTATATTATTTGTCAATCAACATTTATCTTGTACATATGTATTGAGTAAATTGTTTTGAATCAATAAAAATATTAATAATTGATTTAATCTATGAATTTCTTTCTTAAATGACCCATTTCTGCATTCTGCTTAATTTTTGTGCATCACCAGCTTATTTTAAAGAACATTGTATATGTGCAGAACATTCTACTTCAAAAAATAGCTTAATACCCTAACTCCAAGGAAAACAGCCACTTTTACAATGAAAAGCATTAAACAGAATCGTCCCAGTCCCTGAGTGACGTGGGCATCGAAGCAAAAGTTGGGAAAGTAGGGTGGGATCGGCAGTGATTATGTTCTTGACATCGAGAGCAGAATGTTCCATTCTGCAACAAAGGGCAGCATTCTACTAGGCTTTGAGCAATGTAGGCTATGGTGAGATGAGCAGTAGCATTTGGTGAGATGGCCATCTCGACATCAAAATCATCTTGCCACAACTTCCCTACTTTGGTCAAGCAGCACGAGGATATTCTTGCCAGGGAGCAGCAAGTTCCCAATTGACTTGTTCTTGGTCATTCAGCAATTTGCTAATGGTCAAACATGCTACATATTATGATCTTACCAAACTCACTATGGGAACACTCAACATGGAAACCAGAGCAGGTTCTTGGTGGGTTCAACTTGCTGCTTGCTCCAAAAACCAATCCCCCATATTGGATACAAGGCACCTCCATTTCAGGGCATGTTCCACAGGCACCAGCCACATACACCTCAAATTCACTGACTGGCATCTGACATGTACCAGCCTCTTAATCCACAATGCATATCTTCAGTCCAGTTCCAGGATGTTTCTGCACCACAATGGTTCACCTCAGGCAGCACCAGCAATCCCTATCATTCAAATGCTACGGCAAGAACATCGTGAAACAAATGTGAAACAAATTTGGGTCAAGTGCTAGACCAGGCCTCATTTCTGGGCTGAACGCTAATTCATAGTACTCACTCTCTCAGTCTACCTAGATGCTCACAATATCCGTGCCTTTTTGTGCTTTGCCTCCTCAACCTGAATAGTTGGCTCGTATAGCATGGCAAGACTGTAGTAATTTCACACTGCCACAAATCCAGAAAGTTTGCCACAGTAGTCAGCAGGCCTCAGTCCAGTCGAGGAAGATAATATCTCATGGGTTCCAGGCACAGTAAATCAAACATAGCCTGCGATACCAGTCCAGACCCTGCTCAGGGCAGTTAGTTTCAGGATCCTCTTCTCGTAAGGGCTAAGGAGATGAATAATGTGGATCACACTACCTGATTTGACTCTTTCTGCCCTAGTGTGGGCTGTTTTGCTTCTGAAATGAGAGAAAGAGGTATTATGTGAGATAAGTGGATGGCACAGCTATTACTGTTGGTACAAATGGGAAGATTTCCTGAGCAAGTGAGTAGGCTGCACAGAGGGCATGCAGGTTTGTAGTACTGCAGTTTGGACTGAGTGAAGTCGGGTGCAGAAAATGTTGCAGGCAATAATGAGTGGTACAGCATGTGCCTAGGTGGGAGGCAGATGCAATAGCAGAGGTAGAATGAGAGTTACTGGAGAAAGTGGTGGCACACTGGCAGAGTGGTGAAAGACATTCCTCCAGACAGGTTATACTGCTTCAACACTGGCTGCTGTGTGCTGATTTTGGTGGCCTCCACTGTTGGTTCTCAGGGAAGAGAAGTTCCTACCTATACATCACCTCATCCAGCAGGATATCCAGAACCACACCCTCAAAGCAGGACACGGATTTCCCCTGTCTGGATTGCTGGTGCTTGTCCATGTTCACAATGGCCTTTAAAATAGGGTGGTGGTACCTCGGATGCTGGACAATTCTGGGATCTCCATTGAAAACTTGAGAGTTACTATGGGAACAACACATGGTAAAATAGGGCAAACCCTATTAGAGAAAACCCATAGCCTTATAGGGAGATTTACTCCATCAAACTTGAGGTAACTCGCACTTAGCCAAAAAAAGTAAGATTCCATCACAAGTGCTAAAATCTCACTATTGAGTAGCAACAGGCCTATTTGCATACATCTAACTATTAGCTAATGTCAGAGATAGTAGGAACTGCAGATGCTGGAGAATCTGAGATAACAAGGTGTAGAGGTGGATGAACACAGCAGGCCAAGCAGCATCGGAGGAGCAGGAAGGCTGACGTTTCGGGCCTAGATCCT